CTCCGAGGGCCTCCACAAAACACACGCATGCAAGCACACACTCGGCCACACAAGTGTTTGGGTGGTAGGAGTGGACGCGGATAGGGATGGCTGATTTATGGTCGGGATTTGATGGATACAGGTGGACTTATGGTTTTGGTCTTTGTGAGAGAATGAGGGTGTTTGTGTGGGGTATCCTTCTCACTAGCTTTACATTCAATTGTCATAAACAAAGTAAACAGGATGCCTAATTTGTTCTTTATGCTTTTTTAATCGTATCACTCCAAATCACTACAAGGTTGTGTTATAGTGTGGAGTAGCTGAAAAGTAAGAGTAGTGCATTTAAAAGGTTGACCCGACTATGAGTCATATCCTCATATTAATCATACACTATCCTCATGTTGGTGATTACTGTGTCACCCAGGTTTAGGATTAATGTCGTTTCCCCTCTCAGTTGGAGCATTAACCAAAGGGGACCAACAGAGTCCTAAATATGAGCCATAGGAACACAGTTTGGACCATGTGATCATTTTAATTCTGAACACAGGGACAGTTTTCAGCAGGTGCGTTAATATTTTATCAAAGCTAGTGATAAAAATGTGGGAAATCAATGCATGTATACACTCACTGGGTATATTATTAGGTACATCATGATGGTACCATGCTAGAAAAGCTTTAAAAGTTAATGTTGTCATGATAGCATCACACCATTGCTGAAGGTTTTCCCACTAGAAATTCATGATGTAAATTTCCCATTTGACCACATCCCAAAAGCTGGTGATGTTGGACACTCTCTTAGTCCAATTGATTCATTTTAATGTTCAAGAAACTAACCTGAGATGATTTGAGCTCGACGTAGTAAATAATACTGTTGTGGTCATAAAGGGCTGCACCTAGTCAGCTACAATGTTTTTTTACGATGCTCATTTGGTCCTAAGGGCTACAGCAGGGGTTCCCAATCTGGTGTCTGCGACTCCCCGAGGGGTTCCCCAGAATATTTCAGTGTGTAAGAGGTATTATCCTTTATGACTGTAAAACGTTTGGAATTATTCAGTTTTAGTTGTGTACATGCAGGTAGGAGTAGGCATTAAGGGGCCCTGAAATGTCTTGGACACAAGAAAGGGGGTTCTTGTGAAAAATGGTTGGGAACCACTGCCCTACCACCACCAGAAAAAGCCCAAACTGCTGGTCCTCACATCTAGAAGCTGAAGTGCGCTGAGTTGCTGCCCTGTGATTGAATTATATTCTATTTGTATTTACAAGTAATTGAATGGGTGCACCTAAGAAAGTGTCCAGTACATGTTTAGACAGTGACATGACTGTGGTTGACGAAATGAACAGACAGCTCTTTGTGTCATTGCTCACAGAAAAAAATGAAAATTGGTTTAATTTTAACATCAGGTAGTGAAAGCAGTGATCAACTGAGCCTACAGAGAGCTGACTGAACCCTCGTTTAATGGAAATTTGATGGATGGAGGAGCAACGATAAGTCTAACATTCTACGGGCCATTTAATGTGAACGGTATTTGTGTAATGCCACATGACAGCTCGACAAAGACCGTTTCACTTAAAAAACAAAAATAATTAGTTTTGCTCTGTTATCAGTGTTTGATGCAATGGTATTTACATTAGTCATTTCAATTTAAAGTTCATGTTTAGGGTTTTGCCATTGGAGATCTGCTATAGATGGAACCCTCAGACTGTTGACATGCTAGTTCCATTTCTTAGTTTTAATAAAAAGAAAATATTTGTTGAAGTCACACCCAGTCGAGGAAATACTCAACACAACACTTTATTTCATGTGTTGGTTCAGTATTAAATTCATGGAAATGTGTCAGACAACAGCAGCTCTAAACATCCAATAGGAAGGTTTTATTGCACATATGAACATTAAGTCCACATGTTATTGATATTTATGGTAGGGTTGTGTAATGTGTTGAAATATATTGGATGGAAAATTAAAACATTTATAATTTCATATTATACTCTATTGATCCTATGATAGTGTATTAACAATATTTGGTTATTTGCATTTAGTCACTTGGGAAGCTGGAATGTTTGGAGGAAATGCAGTCTCATCAGAATATGACTTTTTTTTTAGACATTGAATTTATGGCATTGAATTCCTTCTGTGAATATATGTCCTTTATTTTCATTTACTTAAAATACACCAACAAAAACTTAATTTGTAATAAAATTCAACAACAGAATTTAAATGTAAAAATTTCACCGGCAACAATTCAACAGCAGAAAGTCAACAGCAAAAGGAAGAGGTCACCATTTGTTGTTGAACTTTTGCTGATGAAATGTTAATGTTGAAATTTTGATGTTGAAATTCTGATGATTAAAATTTTGCAGATCTGATGAAATTTTTGTTGATGTATTTCAAAATAAAAAATATTCAGAAACATAATTTCACAGAATAAACATTGAATTTCATAAATCCAATTAGTAAAAAAAAAGGTCATATTCTAGTGAAACTGTATTTCCTCTGTAGGAACAGTCCTCTATAGGAACAGGAGTGGTGGGAGTGAATCCCCAAAACTCTTGGATGGGGAAACACATTTCAAGGCAACACCAGGGACAAAAACAAACTGAGCAGCTCTCTTGTTCCCAAATGGGGGGGGGGGGGGGGGGGTAATTGGATTTGTCAAATGAATGCAGTCTGACATGTTTATGCTTTTCTTAATAAATATGTTCTTTTTTTCCTCTTCCTCCTACTATTGGTAAAACAGCAGAAGCCTGGAACAATACACGTGTGGTATTTAACTCAGCCCCTCTTGCACATTTCACTCTTTGTTTCTGCCAGGGAAAAAATACATGTGCACATGAGCACACGCACTCTCACACGCCAAAGACGACAAATTAGCTGTCAGTTCTTTCTGCCCTTGTGACCTCAAAAGCCAAGAGAAAGGAGATAACGATCTTAGGCTAAGGACAGTTATGTAGACATACCATCCCACACACACACACACACACACACACACACACACACACACACACACACACACACACACACACACACACACACACTTCAGCTACTCTGTCCAAGGACTTCAGGCTTGAGATTGACGGATCAAGTGGGACTGACATGAAGACAGAGAGGGGTAAATGTGATTATGGTGTGACAGGCTTTCACTTTTTCAAACAGAGTTGATAAACTGTGAGGCACGCACAAAATTAAAGTTGCCATGATTAAAAAGTTTGTGACAGAATTGCACATCCCGTATGAGCTCCCTTTAATAAATGAGATGAACATTTTGCCGGTTAATTTATCATTGGATAAATGGAATTACGGAGCAGTCATCTACATGCAGCCAAGTGACATATTATGTATTTACAAACGAGGTGCATAATGGAATTGCTTTGCCTGCTCTCTCCTAAAGCCTTCAAGGTGTACTCCATGGTATGAAAGTCAAAATCTTAACTGCACAGATGTTCCTTTTAAATATTTGATTTATTGTTTATGGTGAAAACAATGTAACTCTAGTGTTGAAAGAAAACTAATAGATTGAAGGACGTTGTTTCCATAGTTACAAAGATGACTATTTGGTTATGTTTAATAATCAGTCATGAACAAAAATCATAAATGGACAATGGTACTCAGCTACACTGTTCATTCGGATAAAACATCAAGGTACTTTTATGTCCAACGTTTTGAGAACCAACATTTCCTAAACTTCATTTCTACCTTTATTATTTCGAGCATCCCTGAACGACGCTGACATACACATACAAAGAATGAAAACATCATGTCCTTGACATCAATCCCCTTTTGAATACTATTCAATGGTTTGGTATCCCGTTTTAACCAATCTATCAGACCAGCAACAAAAGACAAACTCTATGACATCCTTACCTGACTCACCACTTTTATTGTTACCACCATAGTTACCAGGGCTTTTGTTTGTGCCGGCTAAATGCCAAAAAAAAAAGAAGCTGTTTTTCTGATTTGATTTTTCTTTTTTTTGCTTCTGTCTGAGTTAACGCTGGTATTTTTCTTTCTTATGTTGTTTTCACACTAAGATAATGTGATGTTACCTGCTGTTCTGTGCATCGTTATTCTATTTCAAATGTCGTTTGTGTCATTTTGGGGGAGTTTACTGAAATCCCTGCTGCTGTCTCGAATGAAGAGGTCACTGTGTTGGAATAAAGACATTTTGGGTCATTTTTGCATGACGGAAGTCTTCTAATGGGCATAAAAGGTGTCAACATAGGTGCCATACTGGTATATGACATATTTTAAACATGCACTGGTTTACCTGGTTATCCAGTACATTCATTAATAAGCCTGTTGTAGCTTGTAGGAGATTTTTGAAAATCATCAATAATAATACTCTTTACTATGCTACTATTTCATTTTTTTTAATAATTTTCTTGAACTAGTATGGGCTAATATGTCCCTTTATTGAAATGTCACTCAGACCTCCACCGCCTCTTTTGGTCAGAATACTGCATTTGCACTTCAGACTGGCAGCCTCCACCTGTACTGGAGCTGCAGTCAGCTTCCAGCACATTTCCTGCATGTTTCAGATCATGAAAACAACTGATTTTTTTTATTTAGTGATCAATCACTCCTGCAGCAACCAAAGAAGGCTGGGGAGATTAAGGTGTTAAAAAGACAACTGCACAGCAAGGAGACAGGTTTCATTTTTGGTTTGACCACAGAAAATGAATAATGGACACTAGGAGGTGCTAAAAGCAAACAAAACTGCGAAGTGTGCCTTTAAAAAAGGTGGGACATAAATTTTCCAACCATGTTATTTTTATAGCTTGCCCCCTGAGAGTGAGACTGGTTGGACCCTAATCCCTTTGTCCATCACAGAGACAGAGCATTTTGGAGCTAATGCAACTGGACCCTCACTAATGACACTAAATAGCCCTGTCGGCTACATCACAACAGCTGAGAACAATACTGAATGTTGACATCACTTGCTATGATGATCTATTTCAGGTTTTAGCCTTTTATAGTGAGCTGCTTCAAGCTGCTCCAGGACAAAGCACATATAAAAACTTAGAAAGAGGAGGCACCCTTTGCACTTGAAAATCTTTTCCATCTGTTCAGACTCTTGCTGCTCACTTTTGATTCCCTCAACATGCCACCCAAGAAGATTGAACCCAAAAAACCTGAGCCTAAGAAGCCAGAAGCTAAGAAAGATGTGGCTCCAGCTGCTAAGCCAGCTCCTCCACCGGATCCACAGCCCGTGCTGCCCAAAGAGCCTGCGTTTGACCCTAAAAGCATCACCATCGAGTACTCCACTGACCAGATTGAGGAGTTCCGGGAAGCCTTCACCTTGTTTGACCGAACTCCGACTGGAGAAATGAAGATCACCTACGCACAGTGCGGGGATGTGATGAGAGCTCTGGGACAGAATCCCACCAATGCAGATGTGCTGAAAGTGCTCGGGAAACCACGTCCGGAGGAAATGAACTCTAAAATGTTGGATTTTGAGACTTTCTTGCCAATGCTGCAACACATCTCTCGTGCAAAAGACCAGGGCAACTTTGAGGATTTTGTTGAAGGGCTCAGAGTTTTTGACAAAGAAGGCAACGGCACCATCATGGGAGCAGAGCTGCGTCACGTTCTGGCAACGCTTGGAGAGAGGATGACAGAGGACGAAGTGGACCGATTGATGGCTGGACAGGAGGACGCCAACGGATGTATCAATTACGCCTCCTTTGTGAAGCACATCCTTTCTGGTTAACAAAGGCATTTGTCCAACCACAAAGACTTAAAATTTCTCCACTTATTAGACGCTTACTTATTTTCTTAGAGGTGAGATAAGAACCTAATCAGTGACATTCGTTTTATGATGTCAAATGCTGAAATTACCTTAGGGCTAAAGAAAAAGGTCCAACTGCCAGAAAATTGTGCCTTTGAATAAAGTCTGCAGTGAAATTACTGAGCAATCAATTTAAAAAATGGTCACTGATAGTCTCGCAAATGCCTTTTTAGTGTGTGCAACATTTAAAGGGAAGAGTCACCGAGAACATCACCTTTTTATGTTCTATGTTAAGTAAAGCTGTGGGATTTCCTCCGCCTCTTCCAGAATGATTTGACTTATAAAATAAACTGATACGCTCCGGTACTAAACACACAATAAAAATGTATTTTCAGCTGCTTTGTATCAGCATTTCCATCTGACAAAAATAAAAAGGATTGGGGGGGGGGGGGGGGGGGGGGGGGGGGATCTTTCATTTAAAAATTCCAAGACTGCTGCATCAAGGCCTGACCCCATCGTTGTGTTTACAGTGCTGGAAGATGTATCTGTGAAGGCTTTGTAAAGGAAATAATAAATCCATAAAAAAAGAACATAAATAACCTAAATTTTTTTAAGTGGATGTGCGTGTTTTTGTGTGTGAGAATCCAATAAACTTTTACATCAAGTGGCAGTTTCATTCAGTGATGTATTCTTATAAACTGATAATGACACCCTTTCAGTCGAGTGTTTTAAATCGATTTTAATAAGTTGGGGAAAAAAGGATTGGCAAAAAAAAAAGACTTTATGCAATTATGTAAATTTTCCATGCAATTTTTTTACATAGTCAATGAAAGATCCATCTTCAAGGTTACCCATTCTTCTATTTATGTTTATTTGATTTGTGTTTATCTATTTTGATAAATAACAGTTGCAATTTTACATATTTTAGTTAAAATCTTAAAATTCTATAGCAATTTCTTTAAAAGTTCTGAAGATGGGATTCGATTAAGTAGGGTTTACTAAACACGCATATTTTGGGGTTAATACTTACTAAAAATATTTAAAAAACACTATTAAAAAAGTTAAAATACTATTAAAAGTAACTGAGGAAGTAAAACGATTAAAAGCAGTTAAAATTACCAAAAGGGCCACAAATTGTTGCAAGGTGCAACAATGTGAGCTTAATGATTCATAAAAAGCTAATTAAGAGAAGGAAAGACAGCTGTAAGGACAGAAAAGAGTGATGTGGCTTAAATAGAGCCATGCAATGTAGATGTCTTGTGTCCTTGTTAGAAGGCAATATTAAATAAGTGTGTTTTAAGTGCAGACTTGAACCTACTGACAGAAGGAGCCAAATGCACATGTAAGGACAGAAAGAGTTGGGGCTGCATGAGAGGCATGCTCCACCCATGATTTGTAGTGAACCTTTGGAACAACCAGTAGCAGGTGATCAGCTGATATATAGATTTTTGTTAAACCAAATAGATAAATTATACCATTATTTATACCTGCGTGTCCACGCAGGGCCGCGGGGGGCTGGTGCTTGTCTCCAACAAGCTCTGGGCATGCAGGCGGGGAACACCATGGACAGGTGGCCAGTCTATTGCAAAGCACCACAAGGACACACAGGACAAACAACCATGCACACATACACACACACCTAAGTACAATTCAGAGAGACCAATCAACCAGACAGTCATATTTTTGGACTGTGAGAGGAAGCCGGAGTAACTGGAGAACCCATGCCTGCACAGGGAGAACATGCTAACTCCATGCAGAAAGACCCCAGGCTGGGATTTGGACCCGACACTTTCTTATACCTTATATTGAAGTTTTAACTGGTGTTTACTTGGACCAAGATCCATTTTCTGAGTGTACTTTGAATCAGAGGGAAGATAACCTATGCTGGCCTATACATTTACATTATTCAATTTCTCTAATCATTTAGAGTTATAACAGGTGTCATCAGGTGCTTATGGGTGTATTATTTTTGTTTTGGGGAAAATGTGGTTGGAAAACCAGCAAATTAAAGTTAAATGTTTTACTCTGAAGATTGCCTGTACTGCCCTGTGGATCTTGTTTTACAATCCCAGACCACATAATGATCCTTTGCTGAATAAGACCATCTTCCAGCACTGTAGAATAGTCGTTACACTGTATATTGATAGGTGTCCACCAAATAATTTGGTAAAACACCATCAGAAGTAATGCCTCACATTGTTACAGTACAATTAGTCCTATTTAAATGGACTTTTAGGTACTGTGTACAGTTGTACATTTTATTTGAAACTCATCTGGACCATTTTAGCCAAATTTTGTAACTCATATTTTGTGTGTTTAATAATTTATATCCCTGTTAATTAAAAGAAGCATAATGCTTTGTGTCTACTTCTGGTAAATTTTACTACAAGTAAGTTAGCAGCAAAATAACCAAAATAACCAAACAAATAAAATGCACAGTACAAGAATTACTCCTGTTAACAGCTCATTTTATGATTATTACAGGCCATTCCAACCTAACGTAGGGCAGTTTGATAGATATGATGGATTTTTAATGATTGTCTAGGCAAGAGCAGAACCATTTTTTCTTCTTTTGACCATTTTGCGTTCATATTTTTATGGCTGATCATCTCCAATTGTGTATAGGATCATAATAGAAAGATAAAACCCATCAATCATTGTGTTTAATGCATAACACACTTTAGATTTAGTTTCTACTTTTACAACAGGAGTATAAAGACACAGCTAAATAAGCAGAAGTGGCACTTACTCTTTGCAGCTGTCAAGTAGATGCAAAAGAGCTTCTAAGTGTGCTGGGCATCCAGCTCCATAACCGGCTAGAGCCAGCTAGAAAATTTAGGCTCATCGAGATTAATCAGCAGCTGTTACCTTTAAGGTCCCTTTGTCAAATATGTAGAGCTCCTGGCTTGGGAGGACAACAGCTTGTGCATTTACATTTTAATGTCAGCCGTGGAGAGCATTCCCCGCACAAAAGGTGGACACAACATGGTAAAAATCCGTGTCAGAAAGGTGATAATACTAGCATAATTCTCATTGCTGTAATTTAGCCACTGTTGGGAGTTTAGGAAGGCAGTAGATTATTGAAATGTCAAATAGACTGGCTCGAGTGGACCAGTAAGCAGCATAAAACACACTGACTCACTTTTTTATCCACTTTTCCTGAGTAGGGTCACAGGGAGCTCGTGCCTATCTCCAGAAGTCATCATGTGAGAGGCAGGAGACAACCTGGACAAGTCGCCAGTTCATCACAAGGCCAAAAAGGAATGGACAACAGCTCACACACACTCACTCACTCATCCTTGAGGACAATTTGAGTTGTTGATCAACCTAAAGTGCAAGTTTTTGGACAGTGGTACTGAAAAAAAAGACATGCATGCTTGGGGAGAACATCTCTGCAAAACAAGCTACAGCCAGGTTTCAAACCTGCAACCTTCTTGCTACAGGTCAATAGTACTACACACTGCACCACTATGCAGCTCAAAATGCATGCAAAAATGGGTGTCCCTTTGTGCATTTCACTAGTTTGGGATTCTTCATTTTTGCCAAAAAGTACTGTGTGATCTTCAGATCCATCTCACCCGGAGTAGTCAAATTATGTAATGACAGCTTTACATTAAAAACACATGTTTATGCAAACTGTATTTCACAACAGGGTAAATAGGCTTTTATGAGCAGTGAATGTTCAATCAATCAATAAATTAGAAAGATTCTGAGGCAAGCACATTTTTGGAAACACATTGGTTTAATTCAAATTCAAAAATACCTTATTAATCCCAGAGGGAAATTCAACTGTTTCAGTACACACAATCCTGAGATCAGACACACATACATAGACACATGACAAGAATTGGTAACTGTGGTCATTTGCAACACGAGTCGCGCTACCTTAATAGCTCAAGAGGGTTTATATGAGGATAGAGTCAGGGGGAGGGGAAAAAAGGCACTTCAGAGTTACCCCGACAGAGAGGATAGCTTTGCTATGCAAAAAGTTGCTCCAAATCACTACAAAATGAACAGCATTGATTAAGACCAGCCTTAAATATTTACAAACTGTCATTCAAAGAAAGAATATCAACATTGTAGAGGGTAAATGTTGATGCTTTTAAGCTCAACATATTACCTTTACTTATGACCAATAAGCTATGATACTCTATATAAATATAGAATATCAACCTGCTTGGTCTTTGGATGTTTAATCAGAAGATTCTAGGATTCTTTGCTTTTTCAGGGATCAAACACACTTTGTCTCAATTCAGACAGTCAGGTTTATAAAAGATAAGAAATGTATTTTCTAAACAAATTAAAAGCAAGACAAGTTAACCAAGGCTACGGTGATGGATGAATCTAAGAGGATGGGACGTGATGTTTGGTGACTATGTGTGAATGTGAGGTTAACAGAACCTTCGTATCTAAAAGAACTGAGTTCTGGGTGTTGAAAGAATTTGGTTAGCATTAAACTATGAAGTTGGTTCTTATCAAAACGGCATCAGACACAATCTGGCTGTGTTCTACGTACCCCTGAAGAGACTCCCTTTTGGATCCAAGATGTTTGGGGAGTCGGGTGACCCCAAGGTACCGAAGTAGTAGAAAAGACCGCAGTACGACCAGGTCGGTCCAGAGTTGTCTTCCGGATCACAACAGATAGATGAAATTGTTTGTGTCTAGAACAGCTGTTTCTGAATAGCTGAAGGAACCGTTTTGCTGTGTCAGCTGTAGGCAGCTTTTAGCTTGACAAAAGCTTTGGGTTGAAGAGGGTTCGCTCCAGATGGCCTGTCCGTAGCTTTCTCTAGAACTGACTCACCGTCCAGTGAGCTCTGTTTTAATAGTCTCATATTATGATGTCTTGGCCAACCGGGACATGCCATGTTAAGGGGTGTTAAGCAAACCTCAGAACATCACGCCTTGCGTCAGATACAGGAGTTCTGATTCGTGGAACAGAAAGCAATGTGTCAGGATATTAGCTTAACCTTGTCGTTGTCACGTGTCTGAGTGTGTGAGCTGTCAGAAAATAGTGATTCACTTGTTAAACCAACATTACTGATCATAAAATCAAAATGTTTCATTTCAACCACAGTAATTTAAGCACAGATTAATCTAAACATTTCATCAGTATTCATATAACATTTGTTCATTCATTTCATGATTGATTGACTCATATGAGCTGAAAATAGTCACTTTATTCAGAGAGTGAGCAATCCTGCGGTGTTGTCAAAAGGAGGCTTTGTTCTTCTTGTTCCTCTTGAAATGTCAACTAGGCTGCAGTGTCTTTCTGGGCTTGTTGGAAGCTAGGATTTCAAATCCACTTTAGAGAATGGAATTTATGTCTGCAGATGGCCGGTGGCATGTAGGTCAATCTGTAGGTGAAAACTGACCATTGGACGTTACAACATCAATCCCTGACAGGTCAGTTTTCATGGTAACATTTTTTTTCCATCGAAAGAAGACCATCTCAGTTCACTTTCAAACTTTAAAAGCAAGACCTGACAGCTTAACAGTCTTTTATTACGTAGCATATGTGATGATACCGCTAAATGTCCTCTGTGAGAAGAAATCTTTTTATTTACTTTAGATCTGAGTTTCATTCCATCTGCAGTGTGATTAAAATAAACTCAACATTTGTCGTTTGGATCTCCTTTAACATATCTCATGTCTTCACACTGGCTT